CGGTGGTGAATGTGTTATCAGTAAAACTGTATCAGTAGCGGCATATTGTACCCGTCCGCGCACCTTAGAGGTCGTAGTTGAAACAGAATCGACCAATCCGATAAAAAAAATGCGACATATTGGAAAAAAATACAGTGAAAGCTTTGCAATATGGCATAGTTTTTCTCTGCATTGGCTTCGATGCATTAGGTGGGTTGTTTGGGTTCATAAGTTTCTGGTTAAGCAAAAGCAGACACTATGAACCCTGGACACAAGGCCGTGGTGGAACAGCAACATGGCCGCCGCATGGACACAACGGCCTCCTGTTTGAAATGTAAGTGACTCGGTAATTCCTGTTGTCGCGAGTGATACTGTTGTTATATACCATACCGGCCAGTTGAATAAAGTTAATATTGTATATATATATTTGTAATTTCTGGTTTATTACTATTTTCAGTTTATTTTAGTTTTTTATTTTATAATTTATTTTAGAATTGTTTGAGAACCTCCTTGTGGCTTGTTGAACAGTCCTGAGCGAAGGGTTTTAATGTTCATGTGTACAGTCATCCGGTTACTGGACTTACCCTGACTGAGCGACATGCACAGCATCCACAGTGCTATGCCAAGGCGTCTGTGCCTCGCATGAACAGATAATACCCAGTCCTTCTCGTTTCTTCCCCCCCCCCACTCCCCCACACACACCCTTGATCACAAGAGCATAGGTCTATTAGTTCATATGATGCACTGTGTATAGTCACTCAAATAAGTGCCAGTATGTGCTATATGGCTCTTTATTTGATCGCACAAATAGTTTCCCCTTTCCAAACTCCTATAATTATGGGGCAGGACATTTTCGCTTGTATGCAGTAGGCTGCTGCAAAAGAAAATCAATAGCCATCGTAAAACATGTTTTATATATTGTTTTAAGATTGTCAGCTGCCATGACACACACTGTCAGAGGTTTGAGAAGCATCTACCAGTATATGCCACATTTGACCTCCCTCTTTACATATAGGAGAGAATATGTAAAGATCAGGTCATCGGATAGAATATTCTCCCTTCTCCACTAATCTCACTCGATGAGCGAGAGAAGTAAGGATAAGGAAGGGAGAATAGATTGTGGAGAGTTGATTTAGTGTGAGAGAGAGCACCTGTTGCAGACATGGGAGCTGCCAAGGAGTAAGTTCTAAAAAGATGAGAAAAAGTATGCACCCCTCTAAGAGTCATCTCCACTCATTAAGCAACCCTAATGTATTAGAACCAAACGAAAATTTGACTTTTTAATAAGATGGCCGACGTCTCTGATATTATATGCCGGTACAGGTATGATACTATTGATGCTAAGAGGAAATCCAGTAACTAGCAACGAGGCGAGCGAAATCAATACGAAACATATTGCTGATGGCAAAATCGTCACATAATAGTTGAAGTGTGAACCAAGTAGTTTACGGGTTAGGATCTTACAGGGCTTCTTGCCCAGCACCAGGGCTAAGATACAGCTTGGCTCCTATCTTGACGTTTCTCCGAAGAGACTATAGCCTCTTCTTTACACACACACTGAATATGCTTTAGCACACACTGCTAAAATTATGCTTATAAGTGAATCGTCCATTTGCTTTTTACTTGTTAACTTGCACTTAAGTGCTTTTGTGATTTGAAGTGTGTTAAACCCACCAAGTGAAAGCTGACGTTTGCAGTCTCCTTTGGGATTTGTATATGGCCACGTTGTTAGCCACACCCTGCGTTGTCGACGTTTGCTCCACCTCGGAGGTTAGTGTGGCGTGAGCTAGCAGAGTCCTGGCATGATGACACAGCAAGGAGTCCTGGCTAGCAGAGTCCTGGCAAGCGCCCACCTTCACCACCCGCTAGGCTCTTCTGGAGACATGCTGAATGTTTGACCTCCATGTTACCTCGTGCAATAGTAAGCTTGTTAACCCGCCGCATACCCAATTAACGTTCTTAATCTCACATTATTCTTAAAAAATAATAATTAACACTAAAGATCTTTGTCAGATTTGTATAGTTTGTGACTTTAAATGGATATGGTTGAGAAACGTCTACTGAACTTGGGATAAATTCGTAATAACGATATATTGGATATTTTAGTCAATGCATATATTTAAAAAAATACCCCATGTATTATAAATAATATTGTTACGTATTGCGTGAAGGCAATACGCCTGTTTAGGCATTTATGGCTTGGCGCAGTGGATGAAGTGCGCGTCACCCGATCAGTCGGGGGCCAGATTCACGAAAGCACTTACGCAAGCACTTACGAACGTGTACATCTTTCCTCAATCTTTGACGGCTTTGGTTAAATTTATTAAACAGTTTACAAGCATGGAAACTTCCCATTCAACTGTTATTATTGTTATAAACAGCCTCCTGGTGCTTCGGAGCTCATTAACTATTTTATAATTGGAAATAAAGCCGCCAAAAATTAAGATATACAGGTACGTCCTGTACATCTGCTTGTACGTCCCCGCCAGTGACATACCGATATCAGTATATAAGAACACTATAGCACAGTTATAAAAAAAATGCAGTATTTCTAGTACAGAAATGTAAAGACTTCATTTAGATGTTGATTGAGGGGAGACGACGATAGAGTGATCGCGTGCGCCAGGGGCTTCATTTAGCTAGTGGAGAGTTCTGAATGCGTTAAGTTTCTGTATAAGTGCAGGAAGTTCGGCAGATGAGGCTCTGTAATACTCTTCGCGCTACCGCTCGCTGGATAAGTATAGGGTGCACAATAACTAGCCACCTCCGGCGGCAGCAGTACAAAATGAGGCTTTGTCTCTTAGAATAGTGAGACGTGATGTGCATCTGTTTCACTTGAGCCATTGTTAGATCCGTAATATTATTCCTGGGTCCGCTTGTTGAACTCCCAATTTTAGGACGGACCGAAACGAGTGGCGCTTATATATGCTGCAACGGCGACTGTGGGGTTAGTATACACGTAGGAGCGGTGGTGGTTAGTGGCGAGACCAGTGTTGCAGCCAGGGGCGGCCAGTGTTGTGGACGGTAAGGGGGGGGGGGGAAGCTGCGAGCGACCAGTGTTGCGGCCGTTGGGGGGGAGGAAGCTGCGAGCGACCAGTGTTGCGGCCGTTGGGGGGGGAGGGAGCTGCGAGCGACCAGTGTTGCGGCCGTTGGGGGGGGAGGGAGCTGCGAGCGACCAGTGTTGCGGCCGTTGGGGGGGGGGGGAAGCTGCGAGCGACCAGTGTTGCGGCCGTTGGGGGGGGGGAAGCTGCGTGCGACCAGTGTTGCGGCCGGTGGGGTGGGGGGGGAGGCTGCGAGCGACCAGTGTTGCGGCCGGTGGGGGAGGAGGGGGGGTTCGAGCGACCAGTGTTGCGCCCGTTGGGGGGGGGTGGAAGGCTGCGAGCGACCAGTGTTGCGGCCGTTGTGGGGGGGGGGGGGGGGAAGGCTGCGAGCGGCCAGTGTTGCGGCCGGTGGGGGGAGGGGGGGAAGGCTGCGAGCGACCAATGTTGCGGCCGTTTGGGGGGGGGGAAGGGATGGGTGGCAGTGTTGGAGATTGGATTAGGGAACAGTGCAAGCAGTTGGGGTCGGGTGGAGATGGGGGGGATGAGAGTGGCAGCGGTGCCGAGGGTCGCGCCTGGGGACGGAAGTACTAGTGTTGATAGCAACTAGTACACTAACACATGTGGTCGGGAAGGGACGGATATCACGTAGGGAGACTCGGTATCACATGTTAGACACACCAACGAAGTGAATCAAATAATTATTTCAGAGGACAGTAGTGGACATAGCCTTCGCACTATTAAGCAATAAACATTCACAATGATACCTACCTAACATCGTGACATGACTTCTAATGAGGGAATTTTATATTGCTTGGTGGTTGTCATGTCTGGTGACGGATGCTCCTGTACTGACAGCAACGACGTCTGTACGTCGGTGTTTGGTAGGTATGACGTAGTTTGTGTCTCATTCCAGCGAGAAATTTAGAAATATAACTAATTACTTTTAGTAAAGTTTGTGCTGCTCCTATATGGGTTCAACCAAACTATAAATGATGGTGATATTTAATAACATATCCATACACACCTGTTAATCAAATGACAGTCTTGGCGATATCTATGTCCAAACAAACATCCCAGGGACAAAATTATGTCCCTGGGATATTCAGACTACTGATTTTTTTAAAGTTATAACTAGTTCTAATCAAACTATATTGACTTAAAAAAAATATTTATAAATTGACCTCAAAATAATTTTGTGGTCGGATACCCCTATTAACTCTTTAGGTTCGTGAAAAACTATCTTGTTTCGTCTATTTTCAATTTTAGCCTGCTGTATTTAAAGATCAAATATGGGAATTTATAATGAATATTTAGGCTAGGTGAGAAATCTCAACGAATTTACAAATAAACATTACTTTGTACGTCATGGGAACACCTGCCACGTTATTTCTAACTTTATCATCGTTGTCACAATATATTTCTGCGACTTGTAATAACACTAGTTAGGTCTCCTAATATCACGGTTGTATCAGTACTGTATTTGTAGTAAATACGCATGGCATTGCGAGACGTCAAACCTCGACTCTAGCTTGGGGGATATGACTTTTCATTTGTGTAAATAATGTATTGAATTTTGCTCAGTTATAATGTACAACCATTGTATGAAACATGATTTAAAGTTTTCATTGACTTTATTTGCTTCTTTAACAGTATTGGGCTAATATTCGTCAGCGGTAGGCTGAGTTGAATACCTCAGTAGACTTTAGATTTAGGAAAGACTTGGGTAAATACTGGTTCAGTAACAGGGTTGTTGATTTGTGGAACCAATTGCCGCGTAACATTGTGGAGGTGGGGTCCCTCGATTGTTTCAAGCGTGGGTTGGACATGTATATGAGTGGGATTGGGTGGTTATAAATAGGAGCTGCCTCGTATGGGCCAATAGGCCTTCTGCAGTTGCCTTTGTTCTTATGTTCTCCTTATGTTCTTATGACTTGTTTGGAGTTGGTTGATTACGTAATGGGAGTTAATGAGAAGAGTTGATTGGGCTTTTATTTTTATTTTTTTTAACTGATTAAGATATCACTACTTGACGTATTTCATGTGGATAAACACTGAAGATTAAATCAGTACATCGGGAAAAATTAGCCAAGTTGCCACGTGCCATCACAAGGAAACCCGAATTGACATCTCCATTAATTAAGAATACTAACAGTATCGTTGCTTGAGTAAATGTCAGTGCAATAATCTATTTTAACGGGCCCATTAGGAGATCTGATTTGCCAGCCAGTCGAGCGCCTCGTAGATGCCGGAGGAAGTGACGGCACAGGTAGGTTGGACGAACCAGGGCCGAGTATGGTGACGGAGGCCGAGGGAGTGGGTGATGGTGTCGACGGAGGCTGCCTGGGGTAGGTCCTGCTTGTTGGCCAGCACCAGCAGCGGGCATTCCGACACCTCGTCGTTATTTAGCTGTAAAGGAGGAAGATTATGCGAGTAGTATTCGGACCTTTAATAATGAGCATCAAAACTATGATATAAATTAATATAATTTGCTATAGTAGTGGCCGTAGTATTGATACGGAGTTAGTAGGTAACATTAATAGACATTACCGTATTTAATATTTTATATCTACATTAAGGAGGCAAACTGCAGGATGTTAAGATCTTATATATTTGAATATAAATCGATAAATTGATAAAGCCCTACGTCAATGTCATTCTTAAAATGCGAATTAAATATATGAATAAAATAAATTACGAATCTGAATTCTGATGCAAGGATTTATCAGTGCGGGAATCACTGTGCCCCCGAAGCAGAATATTAGCCAGGAGACCTTGCATCTTGACTTAATATGTTGTTCAGCGAGGAATTACTGTTGGGCTTACCACAGTGTCAAGTTCTTCTCGTGACTCGGCCAGACGCTGAGGGTCGTTACTATCGACGACATAGATGATGGCTGAAGTGTTTTGGAAGTAGTGTCTCCATAGAGGCCTCAGCCTCTCCTGACCTCCCACGTCCCACACGGTGAAACTGATGTTCTTGTACTCCACCGTCTCCACGTTGAAGCCTGGGTACCCAAGTATAATATTAGCCAGAGGAAGCTACATGTCTTCCCAGCTTGGCATCTTTTTTGATACTTAGCAAGACGGAGACCAAGATAATTCTGTCTTAAAAGTGGATGATTTAAGAGGTAATTTATATACATTTTTAACCTTTTCGAAGGTCATGAGAATTTTGACTGAATAACGTAACCATTGACGATTAACTTAATAGCTTGAAATGGCTTGAAAATTATAGACAAACTATTTCAACCCATCAAAACAAACACTTATTTACTTTTGTAAGCACATTAAAAGGTTTTTCAAGTGACACCATTCAGAATGTCAGTGAATTTAATTACAAATATTAGACAAATAGGCTTGCCCATTTCCTCACCAGATTTGCGCCTTTTATACATATAGTACCAGCATAAACAAGAGCCTAATTGATCTAATGGTCTGTGGTGGTTAGAATGGCTTGTTTTCTTGGGTAAATTTTTGTTAAGTAACTTGCACAGACGTTCAGAATATAGGTAATAATTCATGTTAACTGTTTCAGTGTTAAATAATATGATCTAGACAGAACACTGCTGGTTCAGTATTTTTAGATTCTATCTGAAAAAAACTACTTTAATCAACTGAATAACTGGCAAATATACATACAGGCATTATTTATTAGTTACCTGATAACTTACTTTATCCTTTTAATGACAAAAGCAATTAATATAAGAAAACTATGTTACACAATTAAGGTTAATTCTAAGGTTTTAAAGTGCATTTTAAACTTAATTCAAGAGTTCAAATGATCTTGATAAACACTATCGCCTATAATTCCGTTTGTTTTGGGGTTACAAATTATATTTCTATAATAAACTTAGACCCTACGTTAATCGGCATCGGTGTCGTATTATACCATGAAAATATCAGAGTTTAAGAATAATAAGAAAAGGCGAAATGTCTTACCAATAGTGGGAATAGTTGTGACGACCTCCCCCAGTTTTAATTTGTAGAGCACAGTAGTCTTCCCTGCTCCGTCCAGCCCAACTGTTCACAGAAAACGGAATCAATAACTTACTGAGGGGGGGCTGGTTAGTTTCATTTATTATGCACCCCATACCCATCTAGTGGGCGGTAGTGGAAAGGGTTACTGAGGGGGCAAGACTAAAATTGTCACACTTTGTCGGAAACGTTAGGCTTTATCGAGGTCCCCCATACTCCACCGACTAAGCTTCCAAAGAATACAACCCACAGCAGTCGCCTATATTCTAGGTACATAGTTCCTGCTAGGTGGACAGAGGTATTAGGTGTAAGGACACACGAAAGTCTCGACCTATCAGTGAACCAAACTTGGGTCCAATCCAAATAACAAAATATGCTAATTTTGCAGTATTATACGAAATACGTAACTCGACCAGTTAAAAGTCTCCGTGGTGTAGTGGTAAGACACTCGCCTGGCGTTCCGCGAGCGCTATGTCATGGGTTCGTATCCTGGCCGGGGAGGATTTACTGGGCGCAATTCCTTAACTGTAGCCTCTGTTTAACGCAACAGTAAAATGTGTACTTGGATGAAAAAACGATTCTTCGCGGCAGGGGATCGTATTCCAGGGACCATAGGATTAAGGACTTGCCCGAAACGCTACGCGTACTAGTGGCTGTACAAGAATGTAACAACTCTTGTATATATCTCAAAAAAAAAAAAAAAAAAAAAAAAAAAAAAATGCATTTTTTTTAGTCTAAAATGTAAATAAAACATGAAGACAGTTTCTTAAACTCTTCATGCTGGGCAGTACAAGAAAAGCTATCCATATACAGGAGATTCTAAGAATCTCGTTCTGTACATCAGTTATTGAATATATATTACAAATTACCGGTAGACAGATAAATCACAAGCATTAAGAAGTACAAAAATCGCTAATAATAGGGATTATATATATTCTCTTTTTCTAATGTCACAAGGACAGGACAAATGTCTACCAGGTATTATGATAGCCTATCAGGGTTTCTGGCATTTACTGTAAGATTACTTTTGACAGGAAACTAATCTTTCGATACTGAACGCACTAATTGTCAACCATGTGATAAGGAGCTGGGACCCACTCATCAACATTATATCAGTGAATGCTTGATGACTTGGCCAAATAGCGTGAAATGTCTTGAGCTTTTCTACTATTTAATGTACTCAAGGATATTAGAAAATATTCTCAGCCTATCAAAGTTTGTCAGTGCCGGCTAGTAGGCCAGATTTCACAGCCTGATTTTGACCAACCATCTACCGTGTAATTCCACCCATAGCCTAGGGTATCAGCAGAGGGCTGTGTGCCTAAGCATGTGAATGAAAAAACAAATCTCATTATACCAGCAAAATTCGGCTCGCCAAATTCACTTGAAGTTACATAGTTTAAGTTAAAAGCTGGCTCCCTTGAGTCAGCCAAGAGCATGGCTATTTCTACGTGGCCACCTTTCCATTTATAGGGCTAAACCGAGCTTAGTACATCCCTTCATTGTCGACCGCGCCAAGCTTTAAGATTTGTCAACCCTGTAATTTTGGTCGGTTTTGCATGGAACCAAACCAGTGTATACACGAGTCACCCCTTCACAAAACTCAGGTGTAGCCAAGGGTGTAGCCGACTTTGTCACCTGTTGCGCGGGACTCGCCACGTCAATACTAGACTAAAATAGACGATGGAGATGTACAGAGAATTATTTTGTTTGCTTATGTTCCACGTAGTTTTCTTATTTTGGCTTCTTATCATTCCTGCAGCCTTTCAGATTATTTCAAAATCTTGGTTTGTGTTTTCTTAAATAGCTGGAAGCTTTTGGAAAATTGACATAAAAAATGTAAACAAAATATTAGTTTTAGGGTACAAACACAATACCTGTAAGTAGAATATCAAATGCATTCACTCAAGACGAATCGATATTCGTGGTACAGTGAATGATGGTAAATCATTCGATGAGTCAAGTTAAACACTGTTGGACCTGGCTATAGCACTAGACGAGTTGTCTCAGGAACAGCCTCACCCTTGGTTAGACACACCCCTGTCAAATTTTGCATATTTCCAATTTGACAATGATATGCAAATATATATATACGGCAAACAGGCTACATTTTAGTTGCCTGGAATGAACCAGGAGGCTTTAAACAGCTTTTTATATTCGCATATTTGAAAGAATTCCAATGGCAGCATAGCCATAGGGTTCCAACGAGGGATCTTCGAAAGTCCAAAAGGAAAAGGACGAGGCGCTGCTGTGCTAAAAATGGTACACTTAACAAATCATTTAAGTAGCTTACCCATGAGGATCCTGCATGGCTTCTTGCTCTGCACCAGAGCCAAGATGCGGCTTAAGATGAGTCCCATGATGACGTTGAGTTACTAATAAAAGACGTGGCACAGTTGTGTGTTGAGAAGTTGTTACTGCAGACCGGGTTGAGCTCAGGAAGGTAGTGTTGACGTCTGAAGTCCAGCCTGCGCTTTATAGGGACCCCATGACCACGTTGGCAGAGCCACGCAGCGCCTCGCCACGTTAGCCTGGCCGCGCTGACCGGCCCGGCATGGTGAAACACCCGCTCACATCACCCACTGGCTCAGCTGGTATGGGTTACATTTTTGTATTAATTACCTGTTTGTCCCTCTGGTGCTACTTGGCCGGGTATTAATAATAATAATAATAATTATTATTATTAATTTATATTAGTATTAATAATATAATAATTTATTATTATTATTATTAACTATATAAAATGAATGCTAATAATAGTATTAAAAAGTACTAATAAAATTAATAATGCATAATAATGAATTCACAATAATAATAATAATGAATGTTAATAATAATAATAATAAAAATTATAATAATAATAATTATTATTAACATTCATTATTATTATTGTGAATTCATTATTATTATTTTGAATTCATAATAATACTACTGTAATAAAAATAATAACACTAATAATGAATAATAATAATGAATTCATAATAATAATGTATAATAATAATGAATGTTAATAATAATTAATAATAATAATAATTTATTATTATTATTAGCATTCATTATTATTCATTATTATTATTAATTCACTTATTATTCATTATTAGTTTTATTAATTTAATTAGTATTAATATTATTATTAGCATTCATTATTATATATTGTTAAAAATAATAATATTGTTATTATTAAAAATAATAATAATAATAATAATAATAATAATAATAATAATAATAATAAAAAAATTCAACAATAATTATTAACTTATTATTATTATTGTTAATACTAATAATAGTTAATAATATTATTAATGAATGTTAATAATAATACAAATAATGGTAATAATAGTAATATTAATAATAATAATAATAATTATTATAATGAATAATCTATATAAATAAAAATGTAAATGTTTGTTCAAAATCGCTAATCTCTGAAAGTTTTTGATTGACATTGTGTTGGAATTGAGCTGTGTTGTTTACCATACTGTTTATTGCGTAAGTATAGTTCATTTTTTTATTTTTTCATTGTTGTTCATTTCGTTTTTTTTAACTTCTTATTTTTCAGTGATGGGAACATAGATCATTTGATCCCATTTTTCTGATGAGAAAATAATACAAATAATAATAATGAATGGTAATAATAGTTTTAGTAATAATAATAATAATAATAAAATGAATAATAATAAAGTAAATAATAATAATAGTGAATGTTACTAATAATAATGAAATGATGTATAATAATAATAATAAAAATAATAATATTAACATTCATTATTATTACAATAATAATGAATGTTAATATTATTTTTATTATTATTATTATTGCTAAGATTCATTATTATTATTATTACCATTCATTATTATTAGTATTGTGTACAGTATCATGTATTCAATCTTATTATATTAATTTTAATTATTATTACAAATTATAATTATTTTTATTATTAAAAATTACACTTTTGAGTGAAAAACTAGAGGATAGAGATAATCTTATTGATATTCATTATATATTTATTAGTATTACTCAATATTTATTATTAGAAAAATAAGATTATAAGTAATTAAATTAATAAAATACAATTATAAGAAAAAAAAATTAGTAACAGTCGATTGACAGTTGAGAGGCGGGCCGAAAGAGCAGAGCTCAACCCCCGCAAGCACAACTAGGTGAATACACACACAAGATTCGTTTTTACAGTTCTAGTATGATTTAGGCTTATGAATATTAAGTATTCTACCAAATTTATTTATTCAGATTTGTGGATAATTTTGTATTTTTTTTTTCAGGCAAGTCTTTTACATCAGAGATTTAGAATCCAGTGGCAATGGCTTCTCCCTCCTGAAAGGTAATGTGAAACGTTATGTGTGAATGAATATATCATTTCATTATTATTAGTAACATTCACTATTATTATTATTTACTTTATTATTATTCATTTTATTATTATTATTATTAATTTATATATATATATATATATATATATATATATATATATATATATATATATATATATATATATATATATATATATATAATATATATAATAACAAAAAATATTGATAATGACACGTCATGGCTGATGTGAAACCATTTAACAACAAAGGAAAAATTAAACTTGAATGGACTTTTGCGCTTTCGTGTTTAATCTGCACATATCAAACGTGAAGTAACTGAAAACCATCAAAACCTACAAGGGACAGATGGTGTGTGGACTTCCACTTTACTCGACACCCAGCGGGCTTTCTTCCTATTGGGGAGTGTTGAACATGGTACTTTGGCGGTAGGTCCACTCACAGGATGAGTGGCGTTGCCCAATAAACTCGCCCCTCGGGGAAAAATTAATTCTTAACTCTCCGGGGTCCGATGTTGGCGTCTCCGTGCATGTTGTGGGGTTTCCCCCTCTAGGCTGTGTTGCAAGAGGGGAACAGGACACCCCCGCCAGAGCTGTCAGGAGAGTGTAAGGCGATTCGTGAGATGGGTCCCCCTGTGGTGTGGAAAGGTAATTTGTGCATAGTTAGGTATAATGATTAGGCACCCCATATCCAGCTTGTTCGTGGTAATGGACCCCCATACCCGCCCTGTGAGTGGCAGTGGACCCCCATACCCGCCCTGTGAGTGGCAGTGGACCCCCATACCCGCCCTGTGAGTGGCAGTGGACCCCCATACCCGCCCTGTGAGTGCCAGTGGACCCCCATACCCGCCCTGAGAGTGGCAGTGGACCCCCATACCCGCCCTGTAAGTGCCAGTGGACCCCCATACCCGCCCTGTGAGTGCCAGTGGACCCCCATACCCGCCCTGTGAGTGGCAGTGGACCCCCATACCCGCCCTGTGAGTGGCAGTGGACCCCCATACCCGCCCTGTGAGTGGCAGTGGACCCCCATACCCGCCCTGTGAGTGGCAGTGGACCCCCATACCCGCCCTGAGAGTGCCAGTGGACCCCCATACCCGCCCTGAGAGTGGCAGTGGACCCCCATACCCGCCCTGTAAGTGCCAGTGGACCCCCATACCCGCCCTGTGAGTGCCAGTGGACCCCCATACCCGCCCTGAGAGTGGCAGTGGACCCCCATACCCGCCCTGTAAGTGCCAGTGGACCCCCATACCCGCCCTGTGAGTCGCAGTGGACCTGCCACTCAGAGGTCATTTAATGTTATACATTTAACATTGATAAGGTGTAATGAAAAGAAATGTACATACAATAAAACTGAACAATTCTAGGGGGTGAATCAGTGACGCTATGTTGGGTACACTGCAAGCAGTATTGGAACATCCATATATGGTCACCCCCCCCCCCTCCCTTCAGACGCCGCTGTCTCCCCCCCCCCCCATGAATAAACCTGCAATAGCAGTAACTAAAATATCTCATACAGCCACACTACAACATGCTTCATTTAACTCAAAACACACATACTCGAAAACAAATAGACATAATGGTTAATTTCAAATAACTGAGGAAAGAATAATGAACATGTTTATCGTGATAAATGTTAGAATCAAGTATTATGGATTCATAACGACCGGGTAGGCCTAATTCCATGCCTATATCTGTGCTGTGGGCCTGTCACGCCAAGGTGACAAGTGCTTGCAAGCAGATGTGGGTTGATGATGTACGAAAGCAACTCACACCCCCGTGGGTATTGACCGGGGGACGGTTGTCAAGCCTACCTTGTGGGTATTGACCGGGGACGGTTGTCAAGCCTACCCTGTGGGTATTGACCGGGGACGGTTGTCAAGCTCACCCTGTGGGTATTGACCGGGGACGGTTGTCAAGCTCACCCTGTGGGTATTGACCGGGGACGGTTGTCAAGCCTACCCTGTGGGTATTGACCGGGGGACGGTTGTCAAGCCCACCCTGTGGAAACATAGGAGCCTGTGCAGGCGATGAGTCACAATAACGTGGCTAAAGTGAGTTGATCAGACCACACACTATAGAAGGTGAAGGGACGACGACGTTTCGGTCCTTCCTGGACCATTCTCATCGATTTGAGAATGGTCCAGGACGGACCGAAACGTCGTCGTCGTCCCTTCACCTTCTAGTGTGTGGTCTGGTCAACATAGGACCCTGTGCTTGCTACTATGGTTTCCACAGCAGCCGAGGGGGATACGGTCTAAGGTCTTAAAATTGTAATTCAATTTTGTCAATAAAGATGTTAATAATAATGATGATAGGCTAAGGGAGAGAAAGTTGTCTGATATTTGGTATGCCTGAGGCTTGTAATGTCACTATGACGTCATAATGTTCATTTCGGTACAGGTTTTAGATCCCACTGAGACTTAACACACTGCGCCAGATATGAAATTATACATCTTGAAATTGAAATAAGTTTATTGAGGTAAAATACACACAAAGGGATGACGTAGCTCAAGCTATTCTCACCCCGTTCAGTACATCGTGTTAATACATACATAGACACACATCACAAACAATAAACATATTACCGAACATTCTGAGAGATAAATCTATACATTTCCGCCTTTACACAAGTAGTATGGTATCAGACATACACATAAATACTTTTATGACCTAGGTTATCCTGATTACATGCTGAAAGTCGTGTGTGTGTGTGTGTGTGTGTGTGTGTGTGTGTGTGTGTGTGTGTGTGTGTGTGTGTGTGGGGGGGGGGGGGGGGGAGGGGGGTGGCGTTGTACAAAGGAGCCAACCAGCTGTTAAGAGGAGTCGTCTTCTCTTCACTTAAGAGAAATTTGCTTATTTTATCTTTCATGTATATATACGTGTTTCTTTTTTCTTTTATTAATATACATTGTCATATATACATCAATTTACAAGTTAAATTACATTACATATATACACACAGAAATCACAATAGCGTGATGCATCAAATGAACAAATCCCCAAGGGCCTTAAAGTCTTAAGTCTTAGTCTTAAACCCCAAATGTCATACCTTGCAAGAACTTCAGTATTTTGTCTATTGAGTAACTCTCCTAAATACCTCCAGACGATGCTGAGGGGGAAATTAATTAAGTTATTTATTTGTATATTTATATACAAGAAGGTACATTGGGTTCGTGAGAATACATAGCATAGTATTTACAATCATGTAAAGCCACTAGTACGCACAGCGTTTCGGGCAGGTCAATATGTGCTCGCCACTTACCGGAGTTAAACGGTTGGGTTTAGCCAGCAATTGGACGGGTGACTGTGTGGTGGGTCTGGCCCTGGCTTATATGTGGAGCTCGATAAAACTAACGGGCTTCTTGTCCCTAACAATACAAATGTTAAAAGTTCGGAAGTTATATGCGTTTTCCCCCTTTTTGTTTTAAAGAAAACGATAAAAGAAAAACTTTAATACGAGGGATTATTATTTTCTACCACGTACGTGGCCACACATTTACAATGCTAACCAGCATATATACATTCTCTTCTGTCCTCCGTGGACAGGGTTAGAGATTTGTTGAACATTTAGTTCAGTGATTTATTGAACAATCAACCACACAAGGTGATTGTAGTGCTTTTAAAATGCTAATCTAACATACAAACATAATACATAATTACACAGATTTATGTCTGTCTTACATAAACCGTGTTCGAGGTGTCTTTTTTACATAGTATTATTAATGTGCATTTTACAGAGGTGAAATGCAATTCTGACAGCATTTCAGCATAAACATGATATATACAGGATATTTCAGGTTATACAGCATACAGGATATGTGGCTTCCACATATTCTGTATACACATACATATATGTATATATGCACATACATTTATGTCTCTCCTATTTTGATAGGGTAAGATAGCTGCTATAGAAACTAGTGTGTTATTAAGCACTTAACCACTGAAGGTGATTAAGATGTTTTTACAAGCTCAGGTTGTAGCTCTCAAGATAGATGCTTCTCTTATATCTAGTTAATCTTGGTTAGCTTTTTTTTTTAAGTTTAGGTTAAATTAAAGTTGGGTTTAGTTTGGGATGGGTTGGCTATTTTGCTATGATATCTTAAGTTTCGCCTGGTTTAGGATGGATAAGATCAAGCCTGGTTTAGGATGGATAAGATCAAGCATGGTTTAGGATAGACAAGATCAAGCCTGGTTTAGGATGGATAAGATCAAGCCTGGTTTAGGATAGATAAGATCGAGCCTGGTTTAGGATAGATAAGATCGAGCCTGGTTTAGGATAGACAAGATCAAGCCTGGTTTAGGATAGACAAGATCAAGCCTGGTTTAGGATGGATAAGATCAAGCCTGGTTTAGGATAGATAAGATCGAGCCTGGTTTAGGATAGACAAGATCAAGCCTGGTTTAGGATAGACAAGATCAAGCCTGGTTTAGGATAGACAAGATCAAGCCTGGTTTAGGATAGACAAGATCAAGCCTGGTTCAGGATGGATAAGATCAAACCTGGTTTAGGATAGATAAGATCGAGCCTGGTTTAGGATAGACAAGATCAAGCCTGGTTTAGGATAGATAAGATCAAGCCTGGTTTAGGATAGACAAGATCAAGCCTGGTTTAGGATGGATAAGATCAAGCCTGGTTTAGGATAGATAAGATCAAGCCTGGTTTAGGATAGTTTAAGCTGGGGGAGATCAAGCCTGGTTTAGGATAGATAAGATCAAGCCTGGTTTAGGATAGTTTAAGCTGGGGGAGATCAAGCCCAGCTTATAAAGGGTGCTACAAGTGTCGTAATTTTCCAACTAAAACAACTGTTCATAGCTGTGTTGCGATGCGACAGCGACAGCCGTATGCATTAATACGTTTTAACTACAATTCCCCTCGATTTAATATGCCTTTCTGTAGAATCCTTGTGCGCGCGCACGTCATTGTCTTCCCTACGACGCTGTGTGGGGCCGGTATCCTCATCAGTGGTGACGTTTCGAGCCTTTTTCTATATGTTTGTGCGGAAATGTGGTACGATCCCATCTCGGCCAATCAGCGTGCTGCTCACGTCTGTTACGTCACGGCTCCTAACTTGTGATACGTGTTCTTCGGATATGGCGTCATTCCAAGTCGGCCAATCACCGGGCGCTGCTTGGCGTTAGCTCTGACGTCACGAGTAGGTGTTGACGTATTTTAACATACTGTATTTGGTTTTATATAATTCGATGGACAGAAGGATGCACACTATATAACGTGCCATTAATTGTGAGACATCGTTAGTATTTTTCAACTTTCCCCATATAGGGCATCCTGGACGGGGACAGGAAGCCGACGGTTAGTCTAAAGCCCCCACTCCCATTTTTTTCCAGACATTGTGTGTGTGTGTATATATATATATATATATATATATATATATATATATATATATATATATATATATATATATATATATATATATATATATATATATATATATATATATATATATATATATATATATATACACACACACACACACACACACACACACACACACACACACACACACACACACACACACACACACACACACACACAGGCAGTAGGACGGCGGTCAGTGAACAAGGGTAGGACGTGCAGTCCGCGAATTACCTCAATATTCTCGGGATATTTTCGTACCAGTGAGCCCAAAACATAGTTTTTGGGCATATGAAAGGTACAGCAACGCAGTGATAACGCAACATAGTGAATTCTTATAACGTTTGATAAGAAAAAAATTGAAAGAACGAGATTGTGGCAAGACGGTGGCACCAGAGGCCGCGAAGGGAAGAGTTTTTGGACCACGACGTGGGAGGACCTCTGGCGGGGACGTCAACAACAATATCGGACATCGCTTCATAAATCACCTAATTGTGCTGTGGGATGCTTACTCGGAGGTGAGTGCCTCTCAAAGTCAGTCATATAAGGTGTACAGTGTTTTTTTTTTATATAGTA